CGAACAGCATCTTGATGGGTGCGGTTTCTCCTCTCTACAACTCCATTTTGTTCAAGAGAACCAGGTGTGGTATACTGTGGCACTATACCTTGCTCCTTGAAGTACGAGACGAAAGGACCATGATTCACACCTTCCTAATCCATTCTCCCATAATACTCACCACCTTGGTCCGATCTTACAATTTTAATCTTTTTGCCTAACTGTTTTTCAACTTCAGTCTGATAGATCTTAAACATGTTAAGTGCATTGGACTTTTGGTGTATTAGGTACAAATAAGCAAACCTTGAGAAATCATCTATAAAGGTAATAAAATACCTTTGTCCTCCTCAAGAAGCGATAGGAAACGGACCACAAATATCTGTGTGAATAAGGCCTAAAAGACTAGATGACCGACTAGCCTCAAAATTACGTTTCTTCTGCATCTTCCCCTTGACACAGTCAACACATAAATCAAAATCTGAAAAATTTAGTGGTCTTATAATCTTATCCTTGACCAAGCGTTCAAGTCTCTTTCGAGAGACATGCCCCAATCTCCTATGCCACAACATAGATGAATCCTCTTTAATAAAAGCACGTTTTGATCCGGAAGGTATCGAATCCACAGAAAAACAGGAAGCAGGTATATGAGAATCATCTAACAATAACTAATATAAACCATCAATTAAACAACCATGTCCAACTATATTATTACCATAATGAATAGTAACCGATCCATCACCAAAAGAAAACCGAAAACCTAAAGCTTTTAGTCTTGAAACTGAAAGTAAATTACGCCCAATAGTAGGAACATAAAAAACATCCTAAAGTTGTATGGAAAAACCAGTGTGTAACACTAGCGAAATCGTCCCAACAGCTGCAACATGAACCGCATCAGCATTACCCAACACCAATTTCTCCTCAGCCCTGGGTTTTCTCTGGCTTCGAAATCCCTATGATGAACAAGAGATATGAACAGATGCACCCGTATCAATCCACCATGTATAATTAGGCTCATTTACTAAGTTGGATTCAAATATTACCATAGCAATTCCCATACCTGCTTTGTTTTTCTTTAACCAATTTTTGTAGCTGTAGCAGTCTTTCCTTTGATGTCCTTTCTTCTTACAGAACCAACATTCATCATTCGCATTTACATGCTCAATGCCTTTTCCTTTGTTGTCCTGCTTTCCATTTTTCTGAATTGTCTGATTCCCTTTCTTGCCTCCTTTTAACTTGAAGTTATTCCTACTTTTACTGCTTATGGCAAGATGAGCCGACACAAATTTAGCACCCTTGAGCCGCTCTTCCTCGGTCACACAAAGTGCCAATAGCCGATTAATATCCCATTTTGTCTCTTGTGAATTATAATTTACCTTAAAAGCATCAAAAGATCTAGGCAGAGAATAAACCACCATGTGGACCAATAACTCATCATCAAATGTAATTCCCTACTCTCTGAGACCATTAACCAGCTTGCATATCTTATAGATTTGCTCCCTCACTGAACCACTGCCATCATAACTAGTTGACATAAGTTGTGTCAAATAATAATACTGAAGTTGCTTCTTGGTACCCATGAATTGCTTCTTAAGTAAATCAAGAAGCGCATTGGCAGTATCAAATACAGGAATACCACGACGAATAGTCTCACCAATAGAAGCACGGATCAACCTGATGGCCATGGTATTAGCCTTAGTCCACTTAGCATGCAATAACTTTACTGCTTCAGAAGACTATTCAGTGATTGTAGCGGGTTTCTCCTCATAAAGTACAAACTCATAGTCCAAGAAACCCAACATAATATCAACACTTGTCCTCCAAGTAGTATAGTTCGAACCATTCAATAGTTCAATCCCTGTGAGCAGTCTTTGAATAGCGGAAGCGTCCATAACTGTAATACATGTTATATCAAATAACACAAAAATGAACATATAAAATAATATGTTACAGCTTTAGGGATTATTTCTTTAATTCGTGCTTGGGGTTTTAAGCCGAATTTATCAGGGTGTTTTACTATATACAAAACTGTCCACCCTGCAAGAACATATAAAATGCCATCTAAAAAACACCTTTTGGCAGAATTTTAGATTTTATTTTATCCCAAACTTGCAATCAAATCACACATAGACCTATTCGATTATACTTGAATTGTTACTAAACACTTCCACTACCTTTTGGCAAGAGGGTTATTTAGTTATAATCCAAACACTCTCAAATATTCTACTCACTTATCCCACACTAAGACATTGATCACCTTTTGGCTGAACAAATACCCTCATGTAGGTAAGTGCACTATGAGACCTCAATAAAACCAATGCTTTAAAATTTCAAAATTAATAACCTCTATGAGTGTGTCACTTTTTAGCAGGCATCACTCACTTTGACTATTAATTTTGAAATGGTCACTTTATCGGTCTTCATAAACCCCCATGAAAGACCTTATCTTTAGAAGTTCCACTTAAAATTATATATATAGCACACCCACGAGGTCATGCAATTTCATCACCATTATATGGAATTTCTATCAATAAGTCAGTGAGCAATTTAATAAATAATATATGAAATTACTTCCTCATATATATAGAATAATTTAAAGAAATAATTAAATATTATCACTCTATACTGTACATTATTACAATCAAATTTATTGATTTTGTTTATGATTCGGTGTGCACACAGTATAGCAATATATAAAGAAAATAATATATATATATACATATATATATACACACATATATAAAGCATTTGTTCCTTTTATAACATGGAATCATTATTGACTTTTCAAATCAAATTATAAATCTCGCACTCAAATCAGAGAACACATACACACACATATATATATATGTATCTCGTTCGACGTGCACAAGAATAACAATAGGAAACCAATTAGTGTTAAAACTTATTGACACTTAAAAAACAATCAAAGAAAAAACAAAAGTTTCCTCGTTCGGCATACTTTGAATAAAAACAGGAAACAATTGATTCGTGTATACTGATACCAATTGTTGGTTTCTCAAACAATATTTATAATATACAATAAAATTATACACGAATATCTGGAAAACAAACATATAACCGATCCAAACAGTACAAAAACTCATGTACACAGTTAACGATCAATATAAATTTATTTATTTATCCTGTCTTTAATTTAAAATAATCTATACTGTGAATTTTAATTCACTAATTTTGATTTCTACAAACCCTAACCAAGCTCTGATACCAATTGTTGGGTTTAATTAACAAACAACAAGTAGAAATCAAAATTGATCATCAATTAAAGAGAGGGTTTGATCCTATACCTGATTAGAAAATTAAACTTGAGATACCTTTTTGAGAATTCTTTATCGCCCTTTGAGATATCTGAAAAATAGAGCGCTTTACCCCCTTCTGAAAGTTATCGATACGATAGGGCTGAATAAGGGTTTTAAAACCCCTATATATAACAACAACAAGGGGGGGGAGGGAGACGACTTCTCTACAAACAAGCATATCTAAGTCTCTCTTCCTATCATGGAAACTTAGATATCAATGGTTAGAAATAAATCACACCAAATAAGTTGGAAAACCACAATCCAACAATATAAAACCATACTCCCAATTAGACCATCAAATTAGAAAGTACAAACCCAATCCATTAAGTATTAATAATCACATTGCAATCCTACTTAAAAAAACGTAGTGCATAGGACCGTAAAATAATTTTTATTATATATATATATATATATATATATATATATATATATAAATTCCAACATTCCTTTGCTGAGCATTTCTATCTTCCCCTTCCTAACCCAGTCTCCACCAATCCTTTTGCCTAACCTTTGACCTGTGCCAATGGTCTGTACACCAGCCCATCATCTCCTCTGCACACCAGCTTACCTCTGCTCAATCCGTATCTATCTTGTTCTCGCATTAAAGGTTTGGTGCCTTTTAAGAATTCTTCTCTTCTATTTTCTAGCTCTTATTTACAACATGGTATCAGAGCAGGAGTAGGTCATGTGTTCAAACCTCACCGTCAACCTGATTTAAAATTTGAAAAACATGTTGAACCAAAAGGACACGTGAGGGGTCGTGTTGAAGTAATTTAAGCTTTTGGAGTAGATGGTTAGCACCTCTCTATATCACTTCTTTTTATATATCACTTTTCTCTATCTATGTCGCTCATCCTTGCTTCCACTGGATCAACTCGTTTCTCTCTAAAATGTCGCACTATTTTTTTCATGGGCAAAGAATTCTGAAGAACATAGCAATGAGAATTGGTTAAAAAAGGTAGCCTCCAATAACTTCTCTAAATTGATGGATCAGTCAACTCTAGCGGAAGACCATCGCTGATGGTGACATAACAGATGTCTATACTGGATTGACAGGCTCTGGCAAAGAGGTTATCTTTGCCGGCACCAGCAGTAGGTGGTGCTGAAAAGGTATCAAATTCTATTCATTTTTTTATTTCCAAAATACAAGAGTATGCTTATAAAGTATGTACAGAAAAATCTATTCTCGGAAGGTAGTCACTGCCATACACAAATCTAGGCTAGAATTATTAGAATAACATAATCAGTGGAAACCAAATAAATAAATAAAATCTCTATAATCTCTCCACAAGATCCTCTATTAACAACTCATGCCAACACCCCTCCTCAAGTTGGTGCATGGATGTCTCCAATGCCTAACTTGTCCAGTGAGTTATAAAATAACTTGCTTGAGACGGCCTTTGTAAGGATATCTGCCAACTGATCTTCTGATTTTACAAAAGGAAATTGAACTATCTAAGTTTTAAGCTTTTCCTTGATAAAATGTCGGTCCATTTCAACATGTTTTGTTCGGTCATGTTGAACTAGGTTTTGTGCAATCACTATAGTCGCTTTATTATCACAAAATAGTTTCATTGCAGAACCGGATGAATAACCAATTTCTTCTAATAGCCTCTTTAGCCAAAGAAGCTCACAAAGTCCTTCAGCCATGCCTTTAAACTCAGCTTCTGCACTAGATAACGCAACCACCTTCTGTTTCTTACTTCTCTAAGTAACTAGATTGCCACCCACGAAAGTGAAATATCCTGATGTAGACTTTCTGTCAATAATACTCCCAGCCCAGTCAGCATCCATATAACCATCAATGTTTAAATGATTATATTTCCTAAACATGAGTCCTTTTCCTAGGGAAAACTTCAAGTGCCGTAAAATCTGAAGCAAGGCATTCATGTGATCGTCATTAGGATTATGCATGAATTGACTCATTAAACTTGTAGCATAGGCAATATCCAGTCGTATATGGGACAAGTAGATTAGTTTTCCCACAAGCCGTTGGTACCTTTCTCTATTCGTGGGTGTTTGGTTCAAGTGTTCTCCCAATCCATGATTTTGAACTATTGGCGTACCTGCAGGCTTACAATCAAGCATTCCTATTTAAGCTAGCAAATCAAGTACGTATTTCCTTTATGATAGAAATATGCCTTGATTTGACTGAGCTACTTTGATACCCAGAAAGTATTTTAATCCCCCAAGGTTCTTCATTTCAAACTCGGTTGCCAGATGCTTCTGCAAACTAGAGATTTCCTCCTCTTCATTTCCTGTAACTATCATATCGTCAACGTAAATTATTAGAGCCGTTACCATCCCTTGTTGATGCTTCAAGAATAGAGTATGATCTGAATTGCTCTATTTGAAACCATGCTTCCTCATAGCGAAGCCAAATCATCCAAACCAAGCTCTAGGTGATTGCTTTAGTCCATAAAGTGCCTTCTGCAGTTTGCATACCATTCCAGTTTGTGATGAGGTTATAAAGCCCGGTGGAATGTCCATGACACTTCTTCTGCTAGATTCCCATGAAGAAACGTATTTTTTACATCAAACTGATGTAGTGGCCAATCTAAGTTTGCAGCGAGAGACAGTAATACTTTGACCGTATTCAACTTTGCTACTGGTGAAAACGTCTCCTGATAGTCTATACCATATGTTTGAGTATATCCTTTCACGACAAGTCTCACATTGTATCTCTCTATTGACCCATCTGCCTTATGTTTAATGGAGAACACCCATCTACATCCCACCGTTTTCTTTCCTTTGGGTAGCAGCATAAGCTTCCACGTATCATTTTTCTCCAAAGCTGTCATCTTTTCAATTATTGCTTGGATCCATTTAGGGTCATTTAAGGCCTTTTGTACTATACTCGGAACATGCTCAGAAGATATCTTGTGAACAAAACATTTGAGGGGTTGTGATAATCTCTGGGTGCAAACATGGTTGGCAATCGGATACTTCTTATACTTTTCTTCATGGTCTGGTGAGTATCTATTTGGTGGCTTACCACGGTTATATCTGAAAGGTAATTTGTAGCCAATAGAATCATCTATAATATTACTAGGAGAAAAGTTTAGAGATTGTACCTCAGGAGTATTCTCAGGAGAGTAATCGTTTGGTACTAAAGTATGAGGAGTGGGCTGCTAGAACAAACGGTAGTTGAGATAATTAAGTTTTATCAATTTGATTTACCTCCAAGTTTGTATATTCAAAGCTTGGCCAGTTCTCCTAATTATCCACATTTTGTTTTTCACATAACAGCTCCCCCTGAAGTGAAGAATGGGAACCTTATTTTGGAAAGAAAGTTTCAAATTCGAGAAAAGTGACATCCGTCGTGGTATAAAGGCACTTGGTAGTGGGATTGTAGCACCTATAGCCTTTCTTATGTGTTGCGTACCCCAAAAAAACATAACGAACAGCACATACATCAAGCTTTGTTCGCTAGTTTTTATAAAGATGAACATAAGCAAGACAACCAAATATTCGTGGTGGAAGCATCAAGACAGAAGGCAATGACACATGATGAGCAAGAGCTTGTAGTAGAGTTTCAAAGTCTAAGGCTCGAGATGGCATTTGATTCAGCAAATAAATAGCAGTACCAACTGCATCTGCCCAATACCGTCAGGGTGCATGTGCTGCTGTTAAAAGGGCTCGGGTTGTTTTGAGAATATGTCTGTTTTTTCGCTCCGTAACACCATTTTGTTATGGTGTTTGAGAACAAGTGGTTTCATGATAAAGACTATGTGCTTAGAAATATTCTCGTAAGTCATTATTGTCATACTCTCTGCCATTATCAGATCGAAAAATTTGGAGTTTAGCAGAAAATTATGTCCTGATCATATTATGGGAAGAACGAAAAATTCCAAACACCTCATTCTTATTTTTCATCACATAAAGCCAAGTCATACGTGTGCAATCATCTACAAAGATCACAAACCATTTAACTCCTAAAGAAATTAAGATGGGAGCCGGGCCCCAAACATCCGAGTGAATTAACGTAAATGGGATCTAACATTTTTTTAAACTTATTGGATAAGATACACGATGACTCTTGGCTAGAATGCAAGTTTCACACCTAAAATCAAACTCATGTAAATTAGAAAACAAATTTGGAAACAAACGCTTTAAGTAAGAAAACGATGGATGCCCCAGTCGACAATGCCACAACCAAATCTGTCATTGTTTGTCACCAGTTCGACACACAATATTTGCCCGGCCGAAGTTGAAATCATCCATGTAGTACAACCCTCCTTTTTTAGTACCATGACCAATAATCTCCTTGGTGAGAATATCCTAGAACAAACAGAAACTCGGATACATTAGTGCACAACAATTCAGTTCTTTAGTAGCTTGGTCTATAGATAATAATTTATTCAAAATAGATGGAACTAATAAAGTATTTGATAGTGAAAAAGAGGGTGAAAGTGCCACTCTTCCAGCCCATGTAACTGGGTATGTCACTCCATTAGCATTGGCAACACACGTCCGTTTTTGTTGTGTGGTTTCGACAAAATCTTGTCGATCAAATGTCATGTGATCGGTTACCCCTGAATCGACAATCCAACCATGATTACTTGGATCATTAAGAGCCACAAATTTGTTTGCAATAGCAGGAGAGGAGTCCCCTTGTGGTATAAGGGATAGTTGAGATTCAGTGTTCACTAGTGCGACTCGGCTATGAGTCTCACCTGCACCAGCTTCACGCTTCCTTTTTGTCTTAAGTTCGTGCCACCACTCTGGATATCCATTTAGTTTAGAACAGGTGTCTTTGGTATGTTTCATATGCCCACAGTGTGTGCAGCCCCCTCTTGTGACTTCGACTTTGTCCACGTGTTAAGCTTTTCATTGGACAAAATCTAAAATGAAGGCTGCTACTGTGATTTTTGTCCGCCTTTTGAGAGCATAATAGCACTAGGTGTGGTATCTCTTTTTGTCAACATCACTACTTTCCTTAGATCTTCTTTGCGAACATGTGCATAGGCCTGCTCTACTGTAGGAAATGTCTGAACTTGGAGCACATCTCCTCGAATCTTGTCAAGATGATCATCTAGTCCATCCAAGAATGTATAAACTATATCCTTCTGTAAAATAGAATTATACCTCTGTATATCAATTTCACATTTCGTCGGATTCGGGCAGAAAAAATTGATTTCTCTCCATAGGCCTTGAAGATTGTTGTAGTATGTCTCAATAGATCCTCCGCTTTGTTTGAGCCTAGTCACCTTCCTTTTAAGATCATAAACTTGCGAGGTGTCGGCGCCATCAAAATATGTTGTAGTGATTGCGTCCCATACTGCTTTCACTGTTGGGAATCTGATGTAGTTACCGATCAGTTTTGGATTCATTGAATTAATCAGCCATCCCTTCGCCACTGCATTTTCAGTTTTCCATTTTCTAAAATTAAGATCACTCTCTCTGGGTTATGGAAGATCCCCATTTATATATCCCAACTTCTCAACAACCTGGGACAATAGTCCATAATTGGTGTCGTCCAACTTGATGATAATTGTTGCAGCAACAGATTCGTGACTCAGTGGGTTGGTGTCTGGTTCAACATTTGTGATATTCTGGAGGTCAAGTCTGCAAGAATTGGATTCTCGCCTTGGGAACTCTCTATTAAGGGAGTACGTTCTGTCATTGCTCTCAATCTCTCTCTTTTTTTCTTTTTCTTTTTTTATTTATTTTACAGAGTCCTAGAATCTACGCTCTGATACCATGCTGAAAAGGTATCAAATTCTATTCAATTTTTTATTTCCATAATACAAGAGTATGCTTATAAAGTATGTACAGAAAAATCTATTCTCGGAAGGTAGTCACTACCATACACAAATCTAGCCTAGAATTATTGGAATTACATAATCAGTGGAAACCAAATAAATAAATAAAACCTCTATAATCTCTCCACAAGATCCTCTGTTAACAACTCACGCCAACAGGTGGTTAGGCTTTGCATATTTGGAGGTGGGGTCAATGTTGATGAAGGTGATTGTGAAGCCTTTGATGCAAGTTTCATGACCTGATGGACGATTGGGGTTACATGAGCTTGTAGAGGGTATGAGATCATGATAACATGGGGCTCCTATTGAAACTCCTCCATTTTGTTTAACAATTTTTCTAAAGAAATTAATCTGGGAGTTTGGATGGGAACATCAATGTTTGTGTAATGGGAAAAACTTAGATTGACAAATGGGTAGGTGATTTTTATAATGTTTCATAGAGTTGCGTGAGGTTCTAACCGAGGTGCGCCAATTGCTGGTATAAATTTTGAGCTAAGATTTTTTTTTCTGATTTTATTTGTAATTGTTCAAAAATTATTTTTTATTTTCACTTTTCCACCTCCTTTTTGAGTTAATTCTTTTCAAAACTAATGTGAGTCAAAAAGGGGTATTTGAAAAGGAAAAAAAAAAAAAAAAATCATTCTAGGTTTTAAGATAGTTTAACCAAACACTTGAATGAAAATAATCATTCCATTCCATGTTACAAACCAAACAATAGAATAAGAATGACTATTATATTCCTTTCTCATTCTCATTCCATTTTCACTTGTAATCCATTCCCTCGTACCAAACTAGGCTGTAAAATTATGTCCTTAGAAAACAACATAGACCTTGAGATATTTTCTTAGATATCTTTTGCTATTTCATTAGGTATTACCATTTCAAACGGATGATAGTTTTGCACATTGAAGGAGGGAAGAAGACTATCTTGTATATTCAATAATCAATATTAAAATTGTACAGATTACAAGAATAAAAAATAATATGACCTAAAGGAGGGGCTTAGTAACTAAAAGAGGGAAAAAAACTAAACTACCCACAAAATAAAAATAAATTTTCATAACAGTTAACACTTATTAGGTCCTCTCTGTCCGTCCTATATTAGTAATCCCTTTTCGGGAGTAGAGTTAAAAAAGGGACATGTAATTAATGCATTATCCCTTTAAAATTATCAAGTTATCCTCTCATGTTTGAATATATATATATATAATGAAGTTGGAAATTTTTGAAAACTTCAAAGGTATTTATGAAATTATGCACTTCTTTTACTTGGACTTTTCAATGGGACAAGAATTGTGGAACAGCTCAAAAAGAAAAGATGGACAATTAGTTGGGACGGAGGGAGTGCTACTTTATTATTACACATTTCTTAGTGTGTTCTTTACATCCTTATTATCAATTTCACTTACCATTCTTATGTTCGTGTTGAAAGTAATTTTTTTTTTTTTTTTTAGTTAATCTTTTTTTTTTTTTTTTAACTAATATTGTTTGATCTATATCCTTAAT